CATAGACGAAGTACAGTATCGTCTTTGGTTTGGCCTCAATGCCATGTCTTTGACTGATGCCTGGGAACTGTTCCTGTCCCATATTGTGCAGACTTATCCTATTTAAAAGCGATTTTGTTTTGCAATAAACTGCCATAATGCGAATGTATGCCGTATATTCAGGTGTACGTGTATAACGATAGGGATGGTTGGGTAACAGCGACCATCGTCCATTTAACCTCCCGCGATGTTCGTTCGGCCAGCCCATGTTAGGCCGTCGGGGAAAGTCCAAGTAGTGCGTGAAAGTAGGCCTGCAACCGCTGATATAGCCTGAAGGCCTTTGAGTCCACTGTTAAAGGTACTATTTCTAGGTAACGGATTTTTTGGGTGCCATCTCCCGATTGTTACCGTTTTCTTGATGCATGTTTGGCCAATGTTAATGCCCCATGCCATTGATACTGTGAAACTTGAAAAGATTTTTGAACTTATTTTGCAAGACCCTCGAAAAGTTTGATGACACTGGCTCCACGAAAATAGACCGCCTGGCAACAATCTAGAATATATTTATAGATACGTCGATTGGTTTTCAAAATTTGGTAAGATTTCTTTAGGTTAATTTAACATAAAATATCTAAAATCTGGTATTGTCTGCCTCGAATTAAATGTCGTGCCCCACCAAAGTCATTATCGCGGTCATGGGCAAAATGATGACCATTTTGCCGTACGGGATATATCCTGCACACATTGTTAGCGTATGAGAGACACATATCGGGACATTTAAGAAACGCACGTGCCAGCAGCAAAGTGCGTAAATATCACTCTAATTTATTTTTACCCAAGGGTGCATCCATTTTGCGCATGATGGAGGCCTTTCTTGGACGCGAGACATTCAGGCGGGGATTAAAGGTAAGAAATTTCTTCCTGTGAATTTTAGTAAAAGGGATTTGCAGCAAAGGTCACGCTCTTTTATTAAACCCAATTGTATTTTGACTTCCGTCTAAGTCCTCTTCTATGACTGTCCACTGTAGGATTAATCCGTTAATTCTTAAGCTTCTGTCCTAAAGCTCAACACCGAACTGTGCGCATAGATATTTTTCCTATGTTGAATTTCACCTCACTAAAACGACTGAAATTCTCTAGATCTATCTCGCGAGGCACAAGTTCAAAAACACCGAGTCCATCCATCTGTGGGACGCCCTTACCGAGGTAATTGCTTTTTATTAACAAACAAATGTTCCTCCACTTTGCATGGACATTCACTGTTAAATTCCGTCAGTAATGAACTCATCCCTTAAGTGCTGCTACGCATACGTAGCTACTTCCCTCAAGAATATGTCACATGATAAAACGAAAATAGACTAGCTTGCAACACTGGGGAAGAGAAATGCCTTTAACAGATAATCCAATTGGATTATATGAAGGAAATCTTATACCTACTGAATCTATATGCTATTCCTACTGCATGCGGTCAGCTTGGCAAATATGCGAGACGTCATTTTGCGTCTTTTATACCGAAAGGGACAGTGAGGTAAAAGAGCTAAGTTATTGTTTTATAATCGAACCAGACGGAAAAGTGTTACAATTTAAACTATTCTCTAGAGGCACGTCTCCGTCCTCAAGCAGTCTAGTAGGCGGCAGACGATTCGATTTGAGTCGTCAAACTGTCGTTACGCAAAACAGGACTGACTGAAGGTCGAGCCATGTGAAATTCCCCGGGGCGTTACCGAAGACATTTAAGAGTGTTTCTTGGTCCTAAAGTTAGTGGTAAACGGAGAAGGTGGCAGAAAAAAACCACTGAGTGGAATTTCCAAAAAACCAATGCAGGCCGGAAGGCGGACAGGTTTTGCGTAACCTGCCTGTAGCAGGTCGAGACAGGCGGCCCTCCTCGAGCTGGCCCCGTATGAGTGTGGTTTAGTTGACAATCAAAAGAAGAGTGGGCGTTCACCGGGAGGGGTTTATTTGAGATCCGACGGTGACATGCGGGTTGGATGCAGCCACACAGGCGGCATTGGCGGATCACGCATTGGACAAAGGGCGCCATAATAAGGACTGCTGTGC